ATAAGCAAACTGTCTGTACCATCACTGCTGTCTCCATGAAAAGCATTGAAAGACAGAAATTGGAAGACATTACGTTTGCCTTCGGTAATATATCCAAGAAGATGATAACAGATATGCTGAACTTGGCAACTGTGTATCTACGAGCACAAATACCTTTTGCGTGCTAACTCTTGCCAGTCGAATAAATCAATGGACATTTTGACTTTCTTCTTCTTCTAATATAACCTCACGCGCAGTCTTTCAGCATTCAAGTAGTTGGCGGCGCAGTTTCGTCGTCGGTAGACTTTGCAAAAAATAAAAATATAGTCTGAGTATTTCCACCTCATATGAATAGGAGGTTTAAAGTCTGACCACCGGATTGAACGAACCATTGACTTTCGATGTGGACTAAGCCGTACTTACCGAAAACTGGTAGAAATAATAAGCAGCGAATGAAAAATAACCTGATGGTTGACCAATCATCACGCCTCCATTGAATAAATGTGATAAATTGTCAACAGTTATTGGCTGATAAACCAGCCAAAGAGTAATTTCATAAGCGGTTGGTAATACTTCATCAAAATGCGTCAATAGTTCCGACTGAACTAGAAGAACCATAAGCCCAGGTCGTACTGTTAAGAATATTGGATTTATGACCAACGGGTCTTGCGTTCCAGCCTTGAGAAGTAAACTATCAGTCCCTGGATATAACTGGCTGTTGAGAGTTTATGGACTCAAAATAGGCATTCGGATTGCAATTGACTTATTTTCTACAAATAGACATTTCACATACGGGATAAGACACAGAATGGTAATACACAGATAAGACAGTCACAGAATGGTAGTTGTTGACAGAGAATGGTAGTTGTTGACAGATAATGGTGGTTAATGGCAGCGAATGGTAGTTGTTGACCTGGTTTTACTGATTATTCCTTATAGATAAAGCAGATTGCAGACGGATACTTTTGTTATCTTTTAGTAATTTATATATACATACTTTTGACACTTCCTACGACTCGCGGCAGGAGATCAATTTGAGCAGATTCGGGCACTTGATGTTGTATGTGCGATTTCCGTTTGATATTCTATGTAGCTTTGTATTCAGCACATAAAGAGAATATTCCGTCAAATAGCGTCCTAGTGACTTTTTGTAACTTCAGGCTGTGTAAACACAGTTTATCTAGTAGTAAATATTTTTCCCTGAGTTATAATGCCTACATACATATTTCATCAAGTGCATGAGCAACAATTTAAAGTGGCAATACGACCACTTGCAGTATGATTATACAGGCTATACGTCATCTTTTCACCTGGTTGATAATTTGTTAGGTTTAAAAATTGTTAGATGCAAAAATAAAAGTGGTTTGTTAAGATTGGAAAGTTTCAAAGTCTTGGGTGAAAAAAAATAACTTTCAGGGTAACGACGATTTTTCTTGTCAATATCAACGCGGTTCTAGAGTGTACGCGCAGATAACTAGTGTAAAATCACGAGTATCATGTCGTTGCAGATAGGTATACGTTGGAAGAATGCAATATCACAGGGCCGCAGATAATATCCTGACATTTACTTCATATCTCAGG